GAGGGGGGGGGGAGGGGAGTGGGGCATGGGGAGTGGAGGGGGGGAGGAAAAAGGGAAGCAGGGAGGAGGCGGAAATTTTTAATAAAAAAAAAAAAAGTAAATCTCAATATGTAACTTCAGGATGAACTTGGTCATATGACATTTCCTTTCCTAACCTTTCTGGGCTGAGAATACAGGCATATAATACCCTGGATAGCTGGAAATTAAGTGTTAATACATTTATTGTTGTGCTGTGTCTGCCTCTCCCTTTGTATACAATAATGTTTGTGTTAGAAATTGGATGCTGTGACTTTTTTTTTTAAAGATTTATTTATTATGTATACAACATTCCTTCCATGTATGCTTGCATGCCAGAAGAGGGTGCCAGATCTCATTATAGATGGCTGTGAGCCACCATGTAGTTGCTGGGAATTGAACTGAGGACCTCTGGAAGAGCAGTCAGTGCTCTTACCCTCTGAGCCATCTCTCCAGCCCGGATGCTGTGACATCTTTTGTGTGCATATTTATTATTTATAAATTTTGTAATCTCGGAAAACAAAAACAAGAAACTGAACACAATTACTCAGACAATAAATAATTCTAGCATGTCCCAACTTCTATCTGGTTCTCTAGAGAATATTCTCTGGCAGATTCTACTTTTTAAATAGTTTGAAATAACTATACCAGTGCATACCTGCAACACCAGCTCTTAGGAGGCTGAGGCAGGAGGAATGTGAGGGACCACGGGATGAGGACTGCTGAAATCAAGAATGAGGTTGGTGAGAAAAGTTAATCAGAATTTATAAACATAAGGTGTTCTTGAAAATCAAGTAGGAGAAAGCTTCAAAGGAAAGCCTTGATTATTTTGGCTATTTGTAATGCTGACAACATTCTTAGAAACACACTTGTACTGAGTGCATGCCAGTTATCACTGTACTCAGGACATAAAGCTACTGCAAAAAGCTTGAATACCTGTGCATGGAAACTTACCTCAAGAAAAACTGTTCTCAGGGGAACTGTGCTCAACAGACTAACACAAAACCTGAGAAACTTCTAGTCTACTGCAGAATCATGATTCAGCAACAGCTCTTCCTTCACAAAGAATTCGTATGGCATTAGAGGACAAGGTGGAGAAACTAAAGTCTAAGCAACAGAAAAGGGAGCTTTTGTCTTTTGGTCAAACCGAGTCATTTTAGCTTATTTTCTGTCAACTCTTTTAAAATATATACCAATTTTAGGAGCTGGAGATAACTCAGCAGTTATCTGACAAGGTAAAAATAAAAGAAAAAAAAAAAAGCAAGACTCTACTTACAGAATTAGTTTCCCCGAGGTTACATTACTAGAAAATGACATTGTATCTTTTAGAAGAGGGACAGGTTCATGGGAAGAATCTTAGCGTTGGGAGGGAGATTAAAAAAAAAAAAAATCAAATAAGCCCAAGTTTACAGTGAAACTATTAATGGTACTGAGCCCCCCCCCCCTTTTTTTTGGAAACAGTGTTTCTCTGTAGCTTTGGAGCCTATCCTGAAACTAGCTCTTGTAGACTAGGCTGGCCTCGAACTCACAAAGATCCGCTTGTTATATAAACTGGATAGAGGGCTGAAGAGATGGCTCAGTGGTTAAGAGCACTGCCTGCCCTTCCGAAGGTCCTGAGTTCAGTTCCCAGCAACCACATGGTGGCTCACAGCCATCTGTAATGAGATCTGGTGCCCTCTTCTGGCCTGCAAGCATACATGCAGGCAGAATACCGAGAATACTGTATACATAATAAATAAATAGATTAAAAAAAAAATGCCAAGCAGGGTGTGTATGTGTGAAACTCTGCTAAATCTCTTAAAAAAAAAACCTGGATAGAAAGTTATGTTTAAAATTACCCTCTCTTCATTCCAAATGAGCTACTCTTCTTCTTTTTCTTAAATCAGATTGATGTAGAATTTATAATTAAGTACAAGTAACCTCTGTAATAAAAAACTGGAATCACCGCAAAACTGCAATTATATTACTACATAAGGAAAGTTTGGCAGCATTCAGGCTAAATCTCAGCCAAGACTCTCCAGCACATAGGCACTGTAGTGTAAGATAAAGGTGCTGCAGACTGAGACTGGGTGGTTTGCAACACAACAGTGTCCAGCATCCCTAAAGCACTGATTCAGGCAAACAGTTACCACACCCAGACTCCCTGGACTACCTCAGGCCACCCAAATCGTTTTTTTAAAATGCCATCAGCTATGACAATCACCAATCTATGATTCTCAGAGCATTCCCTGTCGTCTGCTGCTCACAAAAATCAGCATTACTTCAATTTGTTTCTGCCTCTATTCACTGCTGTCATGGAGGATTTCACTTGTATTACTATTATTTCCCTTTAAATCACACCTTAAATGGCACATCCTTAGCAGCCGCAGCATCCAAAGACATATAAATTTAATTTTCAAGTTATATCACATAACTATTAAAATATAAGACATGCATCTGTTTAACAACCAGAAACCACTGTATATCTCCAGTTTTAGAAAAACATTATAAAACTGAAATGCCATAAATTCCAATATGTTGGCATGTAAACTATATTGCCAAGAAAATCTTTTGTATTACAATGGAGTAAAAATGTATTAGAAATATATATTTTCATTTTCTACTTAAAAAAGTATTTAAGCAGACAAGGAGCAGACAGACACTTGATTATAAACTAATTACTGTATAAGTGTTTCAGGATTCCATAGTTTTGTTAATGACTTAAAATTTTTTTCTAGATTGTTCTATGTATATAAGTGTTTTGTCTACCTATATTTTTGTGCACCATGTGCACGCCAGCTACCCTGAAGACAGAGACATCATTATTGGATACTCTGAAACTGGAGTTGCAGACAAGTAAGCTTCCAAGAGAGTGCTTGGAAACAAAACTGGATCCTTGATAAGAAAGGCAAGAACTCTCCCCTTCTTCCCCCCAATAAATGTATTTAATTTTTTAATGAAAAAATTATGTGTATGTGCATTTTGTTTGCATGTATGTCTGTATATTATGTGGTTGACGTGCCCAGAGAGGAAAACGGGAATGTTGGATCCCTCGAAATTGGACTTACAGACAGTTCTAAGCCATCATAGGGTGCTGGGAAACCACACTACAAGCCTGTTCTTGACCACTGAGCCACCTGTCCATTTATTTATTTTATATGTGTATGGGAAGGCAAGTATAGACTTTCAAAAGTTGATTGTCTCCTTCGATCATGTGGGTTTCTGAGACTAATATTAGGTCACTATGCTTGGTGGCAGTTACCCACACCACTGAGCCATCTTGATACCCCAAGAATGTTAAAATGTTAGTCATTTGTATTCTCAGAAAAGTCTAAGTTAAATGACTTTATTTTACTCACCTAGCTCCTTCAATGGGTCACTGTGACGGTCAATCCACTCTCTAAGGACGGCAGGGTATTTGGGAGACTTTTGGAAGGGTTACACTTAAGTCAGAATCACTCTTTGATACTATCCTCTTAGGAACAGATAAAAGTCATCAAGATAGTAAATACTTATTTTTACTCTTGGGGATACATTGCTTACTTAGTAGATTTCCGGAATTAAGAATATATGTCGGGAGCTGGGTGGTGGTAGTGCACGCCTTTAATCCCAGCACTTGGGAGGCAAAGGCAGGCAGATCTCCTTGAATTAAGGCCAGCCTGGTCTACAAAGTGTGTTCCAGGGCAGTCAGAACTGTCACACAGAGAAACCCTGTCTCCATAAACAAGCAAAAAGAATATATGTTAGTTGGTTTAACATTACAATTCATTTAATTTTAAAAAACTATTATTTTATGTGAATGGGCGCTTTGCCTGCATCTTTTTTGTCTGTTTTTCGTTTTTTTGAGACAGGGTTTCTCTGTGTAGCTTTGGAGCCTGTCCTGCAACTCACTCTGTAGACCAGGCTAGCCTGGAAATCACCTGCCTCTGTCTCCCAGGTGTGCCACGACCGCCAGGTGTTTGCCTGCATGTTTATCTAACACCCCATTCACCTAAGGCTCTTTGAGGTTCCAAAAGGATAACAGATCCCTCGAAACTGGGAGTTACAGACAGTTGTGACGTGCCATATGGGTGCTTGGACCTAAATGGGGCCCTCTGGAAGAATAGTCAGCACTCTTATCCATTGGGCCGTCTCTCCAGCCCACAATGTATTTTTCTAATTGATCACTGTGCTAAAGCTTTTTATGCTCATATTACCAATTTCATAGAGACAAACACAGGAATATATAGCAGTTACCTGCTTCAAAAAACTGAGTGTTTTTAAGAGATAAGACTTTTGATGAGGTCTTAGGGCAGTCCTATCTCCCTTGGTTTACCAGGTTACCATAGAAGTCAAGCCATTCATTTGCTTATTTACGTTTTTCGAGACAGGGTTTGTCTGTGTAGCCCTGGCCATCCTGGAACTTGCTCTGTATACCAGATTGGCCTCAAATTCAGAGGATTACCCTGCCTTTGAGTTTAAAGTTTGTGTTACCACCACCCAGCATGACGTTGAGCTATTGTTTTTTGAGACAGGGTTTCTCTGTAGCTTTTTTGGAGCCTGTCCTGGAACTGCTCTGTATATCAGGCTGGCCTCGAACTCACAGAGATCCGCCTGCCTCTGCCTCCTGAGTGCTGGGATTAAAGGTGTGCGCCACCACCGCCCGGCAAAGTATAACATATTTAGGCTAGGGATCTTGCTAAGTGAGTAGAGTGCTCACCTAACATGTATGAGGCCTTAGGTTCAATCCCCGGCATAACTGGATCTGAGAGTGTTTCTCTAGGATATCAGAACTTGAGAAGTAAAGGCAATAGGATCAGAAGCTCAAGTTTTCTTCAACTACAAAGAGAGTTAATGATAGCTTAGATACATGAGGCCTTATCTCAAGAAAATAAATAAAATACTAGGGGCTGGTGAGATGGCTCAGTCAGAAGAGATGCTTGCTGCTAAGCCTAATGATTTGTTTGATCCCTGGAAACCACATGGTTTAAGGAAAGAACCAACTCTCATAAGTTGTCCTCTGACTTCCATGCGTGCACCATGGCACATGCCTACCCTCCCCTGACCCTCCACAAAATACTTAAGATGGCCCATGCAAATGTGAGGACAAGGGTTTAGATCACTAGTACCCACATAAAAAGGCAAGCGGTGTGGTGACCTGCTTATAATCACAGCACTACGGAGGTTTCAACACAGGAACCTGGAACACGCTGGTTAGGCAGACTAGCCCCAAACACTGAACTCTGGGTTCAGTACAAGACCCTACCTCAATATAAAGAGCGGAAAAAGACCTCGGAAACCACCTTGGATCCCAAAATAAAGATGTACGTGCATACACACACTTTTATACATGTACCTCCATACACAGGACTATGCACATATGCATATGCAGACCACTTTCACATAAAAAAAAAGGTGTTTATAAGAATCAGAAAAATAATAAGAATGAAATAAGTATAGGATAACACAAGGGGCATATAGTCCACCTAGTACTTTATTTGGCCAGAATGACCCCAATACTGCTAAGCTCTCCAACTTTTCAAGAAAAATCATTTGAATGTTAATATGAAAATCTTCCCACCCTTCTTTTCCATCCAAGATGGCCTCCAAATGCTTTTTCTTTTGTTTGCTTTTGAGCCAAAGTCTCATTACTGTAGCTACAGTTGACCTCTAATTGCCTATGTAATCCAAGCTGACTGAGCTTTCCTGCCACAACCTCTTGAATGATGGGGATTACTGGTGTGTACAACCACGTGTGGCCAAATCCTGTGTTACAGGGATCCTGTCTTGGTCTTTCAAATAGCTGTGGTCATAGGCTGTGCCATGGCACTTAGCAAAACTCCCTGGGCACAATGCACTTAAATTAGACCACCACAGACAAAATTGTTCTGGGCCAAACTGTAGTATAAACCAGTAACAACACTGAATAAACAGTTTGGGTAAACACAATATATCCAACTCTTATGGCCAAAATACATGGAAAACCAACATAAGTTAAAATGGAGGTTAAAAAAAAAAGAAGACAGAAAGCTAATAGAAGCCTTAAGTAAACATTACAAGGATACATAATTGCAGAAGAATCAAAGTCAGAAAGAACTTAGGGCAGCAAAGAACCTGAGCACAAGACAGAACACTTAAGAAGGAAGATGTGGTCAAACATTAAGAAAGAAAGATGACAAACCAGTGATTAAACCACTGAACTCTTTCACTTGCAACCAAACCAAAAGGGAAAGAGAAGTCCCATGAGACTACAGTGTAAACCACGAAAGTGACTTCAAAATAACAACTCCTGTCTCTACCTGGTTGTGCTAAATTGTATACAATTTCTTTTACTCCTTGTAGTGATTTAATGATTGCATTTCCACTTGCTTACTAAGTCTGCACAAAACAGACATCACCTGGGAGCCACCCCAACATTGGCATTATAATCATCTGTTATTTTCGAACAAACAAAAGTCAGCATCCTGTGAACTAGTGCTTACCTGCTCCTTGCAGCTTTCTGGGGAAAAGGTCAGCTAGAGAGGTACACTATGTCTTGTATCATGATACTCATACATATGCAATTAGCTTTAAGGCATTCCCACCCAACTCAGTGTTGGCATAACCATATCAACAAACAAATGAGGCATACCCTAAGATCAATGACTCTGTTGTCTAATCGTGTATCCTGGTTAACAGTAGCTCTTCCTTCCTAAAAAAGAAAAAAAAGGGGGGGGGGACATATTTTAACCAGTATTTTGAAGTACACACATGGATACCATATACCCTACTCTTAAAAGCTATGTATCCTTTCAGTGAGCGGTGTGTATGTTAATATTGTACACGAAAATCACTATGTCAAGAGAATAAACACAGTAAGAGGAATGTCAGGGAAAAGTTACTGTTAGAGGCAGAGATGATGCTGGGGATGGTAAGGCATGCCTTTAATGTCAGCACTTGGGAAGCAGAGGCAGGTGAATCTCTGTGGTTTTGAAGCTAGCCAAAACTATATAGTAAGGCTCTGTCTTAAACATCCACACACATCAACAAAGGAGAGAAGAGAATGAAGGGGAGGGAGACTTAGACTAGAGATGGCTCAGTGGGTAAAGCTTATGTTATAAAGGTGAATACTGAACTTTGAATCCTCACTGTCCATGGCTGTTACATATGAGCTAGCTAGACAAGCTCAATCAGTGAGCTCTGGGTTCAAAGTGAGATACCCTATCTCAATGCATAAGGTGAAGAGTGATTATGGAAGACACCCACTATGAACTTCTGCATCCATATATACACATGCACCCACCCTCCTACTCAAAAACAACAAAGACAAAAAGAGATGGTAAAAATGAGAAAGAACAAAAATATTATTGCTTTCTTTCCCTTCTCCAAACTTGCTCACTACTGGGGTACCAGAATTCCCCACCTGAACTCTTACTACTTCCTGGATTTAACCTGCAAGCCCTGGCTAACACCCAACAGGAAGAATAACACAGAGCAACAGTTTTTAAATGTGTGCTCTAGGGACCACCAACAGTCCCCCAAGACTTTGGTCCTCCAAGACTTTCAGGGAGTCCCTGAAGTCAAATCAATCTCTCTCTCTCTTCCTTTTTACAAAAATTTTCTGTTTCAGTAGGGTTTTTCAGCAGCGCCTGCCTTTAATCTCACCACTCGGGAAGCAGAGGCAGGCAGATCTCTGTGAGTTCGAGTCCAGCCTGGTCTACAAGAGCTAGTTCCAGGGCAAGCTCCAAACTATAGAGAAACCCTGTCTCAAAAAACAAAACACAAAACAAAACAAATATATATATATATTTTCGAGACAGGGTTTCTCTGTGGCTTTGGAGCCTATCCTGGAACTAGCTCTATAGTCCAGACTGGTCTCAAACTCACAGAGATCCGCCTGCCTCTGCCTCCCAAGTGCTGGGATTAAAGCCGTGCGCCACCACCGCCCGGCAAAAAACAATTTTTTTTCTTTTTCTAAAAACTTATTATGTATACAGTGTTTTCTCTGCATGTATGCCTGCAGGTCAGAGGAGGGCAGATCTCATTACAGATGGTTGTGGCCACCTTGTGGTTGCTGGAAATTGAACTCAGGACCTCTGTAAGAGAAGGCAGTGTTCTTAACCACTGAGTCATCTCTTCAGATCCTTGTTTTTGTTTTTTCAAGACAGACTTTCCCTGTGTAGACCTGGCTGTCCTGGAATGTGTTCTGTATAATAGGTTAGCCTCAAACTCAGAGATACACCTGCTTCTGCCTGGGATTAAAGGTGTGCTCCACTATATAGGGCTAAATTTTTTTTAAGTTTTCCTTTGGGGAGGATGAATACAAGGGTGAAGGGCAGATATGGAGAGACTGAAAAATGAATGGGATTGGGGTACATGATGTGAAATTTCTGAAGTCAATAAAATTATGCTTAAAATAAAAAAAGTAATTTAATTAAACCCAGGCCTCCTGAACTGTAGATAAACCCTCTACCAATGAGTTATATCCTCAGCTCTGTAAATTGAAATAAAAATGGAATTAAAGTCAATTTACAGGTACTCTTAGTACAAGGAGGGCACTGGATTTCCAGTGTTACAATTTATCTAGACCCATGTGGCATAACCTTTACCTCTTCACCTTCCACTTCAGGCCGAACAGCATCATCCAGCTGCAAGGGCAGGCGAGGTTCGGCCAAACTGATCACATAAATCTGAAAATGAGAAATTGCCAAAAATATTAAGTAACAAAACCTGTTATCTTCTGTTTAAAAGATAATCTACATGGAACGATGCCTGTATACATCTTTAATTGAAACCATTTGGTGAAATAAATGATTATCCATTTTTAATCTACCCAGCAGGGATAACACTGTTGGCTCTATGGATTGTTTGAAGTCAACTAAGATAACACAAATATTTATAAACCCTAGGTACACACCAATGTAATAAACAAGGCCTAGTTATATCAACAAAAGCTGTGACTAGGGAAATCAATCTCAAAGCTTCAATTAAAATGGGGTCTGCCACAAGAACCAAAGCAGTAACATAGGTGTTGCTGTGCTACCACAGCCACTGCTACCACTATGATCAACTTCAGCCAAGCTAGGCTACACCCATCTTCCTTTCTTTATTCTTTGCTGTCTCCATCAACTGTCTCCTTTCATCAAACATCACATCTCATTTCCTGCTGTTCCGGTCAGAAGCTGCCACAGAGGATGCTCTTTTACGTTATCCAGTACCTCAATACTCACACATGCTAATTTTACATGATAGTGATTTCTGAACACCCTCAAAATGTATTACCTTTACCACTTGCAACCTGAATTTACTAAGTCTGGTGAATCACAAAGGGGAATCACCTCTACTTCATTAATTCAGAAAAGGAAGCTGTACTCTCTCAGTTTGTGGACAACACCTGGCATTCAGAAAGTGTCAGAGGCTTTACTATAGCAACACTCAAAGGAAGAATATCTATCATAGTTCCCTACACACAAGTTTTAGGCTTCCTTTGGTTAATACAATCTTGACCTTCAAACCCCAAACTGGAGAATCAAAAAGCTATGACTTTTATAACCAGTGGAAATTGACCCTCACCTTCATTGGGTTCAGGTTCACATAGTACTTAGCACAAAGCAGTACAAGCAGTATATACAAGCAGTAACTATTAGTTTAGTACAGTCAATTGTTTATGGTATAATTTAATACTTTGTAAAATACTTTATTATTATTATTATGGCAAAACTTATCGGTAAATTCCTAAGCTTATTATGACGGACACTTTTAATACTAGATATAAGTTCTGTTATTGAGCTAGGATCCTCCCATGTATTAAAAATTCAAGTATGTTTTAGTCATTAAGTTTTCTTTATTAGAGTACTGGAAAACATGTCAGCTAGAAAAGACAAACCCTTTTTTGTCAATATAAATAACTGCTATACTAGACTCAACAAAGAACAAAGTAATGTGTTAGGCTAGCTTAGTAAAAATACAAGACTTTCCGTATCTCAGAGTTTCACAATAACTAACTGCTATTAAATTTAACTCTTCATTTCCAAATCAGTGGGTACAGATGTGCAGATCTCTCTGAATCTACCAACCTGTCTTTCTTATGCCTGTTCCTAAGTACTCCACCCCTTCATTCTGTGGGAAGGGGTCTCTGTATATGTGCTCTTTCTGGCTTCAGATCCCTTAAGGTTGAGGGAGGGAAGAAACTATCCCTTGTCTTGAAAATTACTTAAACATTACTCATTCATTTATTAATAAGAATGTGTGTACATATATGAGCATATATGCTCATACCACATGAGTGGAAACCAGGAGTTGGTTCTCTCCTATTAAGTGAGTGGCCCAGCACAAACTGATTCAGTAATGACCATAATCTCAGAATTCTAAAATTTGTTGTTGTTTTATCTCATTATATAGGAGAGGCTGGTCTCAAACTCAGAGTTCTGCCCTACTTCTGACTCCCAAGTGTTGGGATTAAAGGTATATAACTATGCTCACCTACATCAATTATTAAAAACATACACGTCTGATATAAAACAGTCTAAGAATTACTCAAATCTATACATAATCTTATCTGTTCCTCTCTTACTCTTTTTATGTGGTGCTGGGGGTCAAATCCAGAGTACCATGCATACTAAGCTGTATCTCCAGTCCTCACAACACTGTATTATAAAATGAGTTACCTTCTGGACATGTAACTCAACGTCTTGCTGTGTACAGCTTCCAATTTTCTGATTTACTTTTCTCACAATGCCTTCCACATCAATAATACTTTCTTTGTTGATGCTGTCAAGAGAAAAAAATCCTTAACTTTAATAATCTCATTAGAGATGTCAGAATTCATTTGGTATTTAAGCAGCAGAATATGTCAAACCATTTTTCAATACAGGAGACACTTGTGTTAAAGCCAGCCTCTTCAACCTATTTAAAACAAGCTATTACACAGAATACCTTGTGAGATTCTATTAAAGAGATAATTTTTCTTAAAATGCCACTGTTTAGTAACAATTTATAAGATACTTGGGACATGAAAGGCAATAGGACCAAGTGAATTGTAAAAAGTAGTAAAGGCTCTGAATTATAAAAGAGCCCTTTCCCTCTTACTCTTGAGATCACTGAGATCAGCATTTCCTTTAGTAAGAAACACTGCCTTCAATAAAGGCAATACTGTTATGTAATGGAACTAAATAAGGTCAACTGACAAATGTTTCAAGTACTAAGAGGTGTTGCAATTACACCTACATTTGCCTACAAGCTTCTACACTCACCTTGTCCCTGGATTATGACTGATAACCTTGTCGTGCACTCAAACTGAAGGAATGCTTGTGTGACACTTAATATTAAAACAAATATATAATAACTGCGTCTCCTGGGCTGTCCTTTAACAAACCAAAGCTGCAAACATTAGACACTTAAATTCTGAAACAGAATTTTATTACGTTGTCTATTAAACACTTAATCGTTTTCTGGTTATTTTACATATAACCAAGAAAAGGCATAATTTTAAATGATGATTCCCAAACAAACTAAACTAGGTTTGTTTTTTTGCTTTGCATATTCTTCAGTGATGGAAGGTGACAATGCATTTGGTGAAAATGATTAAGATTCATGGAAAAGCTGCCTTCATTCTGATGCAGAATTGTATCTTCAGTAGTTGTAATGTTATCAGATACCCTAGAAACCACAAAGTGTTAAGTGTAGTCTTAGAACACCACAGTGAGCGAGCTACAAGGCCATCTGCTCAGGGACAGAAAGGCCTAGGCTGTACCATCTAGGATTCTGTCACCGACTACCTTTTTAAAAACAATTAATAGTACATATAGCTCTTCACTCTTGAGTATCCTGTACCACAGCTATCACCGAATATCTAACTAAAGAAAAATCCTAATTCGTAATTAGAAGGACCAGGCTTCTATTTACCATTCAAAGCATTTCCTGACATTGGCAGCATGGAGTCACTCATCTGTCTTCTAACTGCTGCCTCATCTGTATGCGTGGGTCAACCTGATGCTTGAATAGGTGATTCAGGGCTGCTTGTTCCACATGTCTCCAGGAGGAACATTTTCTCCTCACTGTACGCCATTAACCAACCCTACCTCAGCCACAGCTCCAATTTTCCTATTTTCCCTAAGCTCATGGTGCTTTGGTTTCACTCACTCTGACTCTGGACTTTCTGTTAGCAGACAGTCTCCTTTAAAGCCACTTAAGTTAAATATTGCCTTTTTCAACACAACATTTTTTTATTGACTATTTGGGAATTTCACAACATGCACTCCAATCACACTCACATCCTAGTCCTGCCAGGCCCACCCTCACAAAGCAAAACAAAAAAAAGCATTTATTTATTTGTTTATTTATTTTTGAGAAAGGGTTTCATTACACAGATCTAGCTGGCTAGAGCTTATTATGTAGCTTTAATTGACCTTGAACTCTGAGATCTCCTTACTTCTGCCACAGTGTGTCACACTATGCCCAGTAACATTGCTTAAACAAACAAACAAACAAACAAACAAAAAATAAAACCACTGACTTACTTTGCGTGCATCATGTGGTGTATGCAAACCCATAGGAAGCCCTGAGTAAGTTAAGTCCTGCCTGAAAGTGTGTTTGTTGACATGGATATAGCCATGCCAAGGAGCCCAAAACCTCATACTCAGGAGAAAATAGCAAAGCCTTCCTCTGGTCCATCTGCAGAGAAGGTTCATCACAGTATACTCCCCCTAGATAGTTACTGCTTGAAGACCTCTCCCCTTCAGAGACTACTCCTACTAAGATTAGCTATGCCCATCTCCTCGATTCAGCTTGTAAGCCCTGCTCCCTTGATTAAACTGTGTAATAGTAACGCCTCTGTCTACCACCATATACAAAGATGCTAAACTACAGGGCGCTGACGCTTCTCCACAAGAGCCATCCTGTGTCCGTCTTTCCCTCATTCCCTTACCTGGAGCCACACTACAGAAAATACTATAGCATGAGTGTGTAAGTCAGACGACAACTTGGGGGATTGGTTCTTTCATTTGACCACATGGGTCCATGGGATAAAACTCTGGTTTTCAGGCTTGGAAAGTCCCTGCCAAACTACCCAGCTGGCCTAATTTCTCCCCTTTTTGTATTTACTTTTGTGTAAGGCTAGACAGATGTCTCAGTGGTTAAGAGCACTGAATGCTCTTCCAAAGGTCCTGAGTTCAACTCCCAGCAACAATGCGATGGTTCACAACCATCTGTAATGAGATCTGGTGTCTTCTTCTGGCCTGCAGGCATACATGCAGGCAGAATACTGTATACATAATATATAAATAAACAAGTGCTTAAAAAATTATCTGTGTATGAATGTTTCACTTGTGTGTATGTACGTGTACCATGTGCATGCCTAGTGCCCAAGGTGGTCAAAAATGCATCAGAACCCCTGAAACTGGAGTTACAGATACCTGTAAATATCACGTAGTTGTGGGAACTGAATCCTGGTCCTCTTAACCACTGAGAAATCTTTCTATTCCCTCTTAACAGAAAAACAATGAAATGTGGGCAGAGATCCTCTGCTTGGCACTAACTGGAGATTTAATGAAAGAACACAAACATTTTTGTTTTCTTTCTTCCTTATTAATACCAGATGTTCTTTAAATTTTAATACATCTATACGTCTAAATTTATGCTTTTATCTACTCCTATTTGCAGAAATGAATGCATTCACAAGGAAAAAACTTGAAACAACACAAAATTAATTTATAACAAAGGACTAGCTCTAAAACTTGCTACTAGAGCCTGTAAGACAAAACCAAAAAAGCTTAGATTTTTCTGTGTATTTCTATGTGTATATGTACACTTAGAGTTAACACAATCAATGACATCATTACTACTAAACAATGGGGGGGGGGTTGAGACAGTTTCACACAAAGCCCAGGACGATTTTTAATTCATTATGTAGCTTGGGCTTGCTTGCCTTAAACGTCTTATTCTTCTGTATCTGAGATTACGGATGTATACCACTATACGCAACCCCAGTCTATCAATATGATCTTTTTTTTACTTACTTATTTATATGTAAAGAAATAATATGTAAAGAAATAAAGTTATATGTGCATGACGTAGTCTGCCATCAGAAAGACATTGGACTAGAAAGCTTCAACTCCACAACTGAAACAAACATGTCTCTATGTCTACATTTTGAAAAAGGGTTTTATCTATCAGATAACTAGAAAGCTTTAGGTTTACAGAGGATGTGCAGTAAAAAAAATAATGCAGTAGAAAGCAGAGGAACTCCCAGGAGCTGTTTCAGTACAGGAGAAACGGAGGAAGTAAATTAAACACATCTTTTCAAGAGCTAAGTCAGCTGTTTTTATTACACTGCAACTGCATTGTTTTCTGTGCCTCTTTCATTTTTCAACCATTCTTTTGACTCTCCATATAAATAGTCACTCAACAAATAAAATAAATTAGTACAATCTTGATATCAAGATATTCTTAAGGAATAGGAAAAACAGATTTCATGCCATTTTACTAGGAACTACTAACCACCAACTTAACGACCAACAGTTTTCATAGAATAAAATTGCAAAAAGGATTATATATATAAAACTTTATTTCATGCGCATTGGTATAACGATGTCAGATTCTCTGGAACTGGAGTTATAGACAACTGCAAGCTGCCATATGGATGGTGGGAATTGAACCCAGGTCCTCTGGAAGAACAGTCAGTGCTCTTGACCACTGAGCCATTTTGCCAGCCCCATTCTTGATATTTTATAAAAGCTTTCCATAATGATTTTGGTTTGTTTTGGAAGTGTATATAAACCATGTTAGTCTTGAGCTCATAGTTCTCAGTTTCCTGAGTACCTCTGTATTCCAGCAGATCTCAAGTTTTGTTGACAAAAAAATAACTGGTACAAGTGACCCCTTGTCAACTTGACACACAAACGTATCACTATTAAATCATAACCATTTTGTTCACAAATATCACATTATATTGGTACCACAACATAAAATATAAATAACTTTAGATGTCCCACAGTCTTAAACAATCCCAATTAAGGGGGCTGAAGAGATGGCTTAGTGGTTAAGAGTACCTGGCTGTTCCTCCAGAGGATGCCTGTTAGAGTCTAAGCACCCACATACTAACTTACGACTGCCTATAACTTCAGCCCACGGGGATGAGACACCCTCCTCTAGCTTCTGCAAGCACCAGGCACAAAAGAGGTGCACAATCATGCATGCACTCATATACATAAATTAAATGAACCAGAACACGAGGGTGCCAGCATCAGATCCTTCTCATGACTGGGATCTTCTGAGACATTAAATACCATAGGTGACATGATGTCCGGAGACACAATACTGTGTCAGGCAGGCCTGTTTACCTACAAATTAAACATTAGAAATACCTAAATACTTTCTCACAATCTCAGATTAAAAAAATAAAAATAGGAAAATATGGATGGATTACAGGAAGGGAACCAGGAAGGAAGAAAGAAAAGGAAGATAAGAATGAAGGACGATAGACAGAAGGGTGGATTAGTGAATTTTCTCTTCCTCAATGAGACACTGTACCCTGGAGATAAGTACAGAACAAAACTCATAAATGCTTTGAAAAGGTCCCTACTGGAGTAGACAATTTAAAGGTCACTGCTCAAATTTTCATTTCTGTTTAGTAGTTAGATGAAAAAGTATTAAACAGCACACAGTTCTGGTCAAGTAGATGATACTGTATGCATGTGGTGAAGAAATAAACCTGGGGGAGGAAAAAACCAGCTAATCTTTTTTAGTACTGGGTACTAGGGGCCAAGTGCCAA